GTGGAGACTGAAGAGAGTCAGGTCCCTCAGCCTCTCCTCATAGGGCTGGCCACAGAGGCCCTCAACCATACAAGTGGCCTCCTCTGGACTCTCTCCAGGTTCCCCACGTCCTTCTTGAAGTGCAGCGCTCAGAACTGGACACAGTACTCCAGCTGTGGCCTGACCAGTGCCGCACAGAGGAGAAGCAAGACCTCTCTGGACCTGTTAGTGATGCCCCTGTTGATGTATGACAGGGTGTGGTTGGCTCTGCCTATTGCTTCGTCGCATTAGCTACTCATATTCATCCTGGAGTCAATCCTGACTCCAAGATCCCTCTCTGCCTCTGTGCTGCTGTGAGGGTCAGCCCCTAACCTATAACCATAATGTTGGTTCCCTCTCCCCAGGTGCAGCACCCTGCACTTGTCCTTGTTGAACCGCATCCTGTTCAGATCCGCCCACTTCTCCAATGTATCCAGGTCTGCCTGGATGCAGTACCTGCCTGCCGGTGTATTCACTTTACCCCACAGCTTGGATGTAGAAGGATTTCTACATGTTTTATGGGAACTATATACATAAGAAATGCTAATCTGCTCATTTTCAGTCATCCCCTGTGAGCACATGGATTCCTCTCACAAAAATTGCAATGGCAGAGGAGTGAGGGGTCAATCGTCATCCTACCTTGTATCACAATCTCCCAGAAATCAGTTAAGCCTTTATCTTCCACCTTTCCTTTCAGGGCCTGCAGGAAATCATTAAAGCGCTGAACTTCTGACAGCTGGCAAAACAACAACAAAGATAACAGAAAAATTAAATTAGCTTCATACCAAAGAGCTGTAATCTTAATTCATCATACCGTCCCCCAGCATGGTAAATGGGGAAAAGAAGATATTTCAAGCTACTGCACGTTCATCTAGCTCCACTAACACTGGGATTTCTAAAGTGTGGTGACTCGCAAAAGAAAACACATTACCCAAAGCTGCACAGCGGCTTCTGTGACTAGCTTTGTCTAAGCAAGTATCTGGAGGGTGGCACGTTTCTCTTCTGCAACCAGTAGGTCGCAGGCACTGTCTTTTCACGGTGAATAAAAACCAACAGGAGAATCTGTTTCCTATTCCAAAGAGGCCCAAGAACCAAAACAGCATTAAAACCTCTCTCGAATTTCCAGATGCGGGACTACTGGTTTCCATCTGGTACTCTCTTCCTGTTGCTACTTTGTCATCGTCGCTGAAGTTTTGGTTCATGCTGGTTTGGCATATCGACATTGTTCCCCGAATTCAGGCACAGTTTTCAAACATCACCATTACCTTAATGGCCTCCTCTCTGAAAACTTGGATACAATCAATGCTCTTCCTATAATACTGCCAGCCTTTACTTTCCAAAAACTGATCGATGCGGTTTATCAGCTGCTGGCTCACTGGAAGACAGAAACAGAGAATGGAGGTTTTCAAAGCAAGAAAATACTTTTGATGAGCTGGGT